AAAGGCAGTCCCTTAGGTATGTAGGCCCCTGACCATATAGGGCTTTTGCATTGGAAAATAATTATGCAATGTTGCAGTCTTATTATTGATAGACCTGGCATTGCACAACATCAGTGTCGGAGAAAGGTCTGTTTTCCTAGCTCCACTTCCAGTGATGGGACAAAGGTTGGAAAGAGACCAAGCATAACCATATCTCCATCTGCTTCCTGTATTATACCTTGTCCCACCGACATACTTCCCATGTCCCACAGTCACTGGGATTCCTGACTCCATAGTGGTTTCCACCAACTGCATCTAATCTGCTTCCACCTCTTTATCATCAGACTAACACACACTGATAGATTACCATTGATGTTAAAAACTGAATGAACAAATAATAGTTTGCTAATCTATTCTGTATAACCCCTCCCACCCAGAGCCAATTAAATGTAATTCCTACCTTACTAACAATAATTCCACTTTAATTGATTAATTAATTTAAAATAATTCCACTTTGGTTAATTAATTAATTAAAAAACTATCCTAGATCCCTCCCAAATACTATTTGAGCTAGCAGGGATAATATATTCCTAAACTGAGTAATCTAGGCAGTCTCTATCAACTATGGGATGGGACAGATTCAGTGCTATGCTTGAGGCAGCTATAGTTGAAGCAGCAGATGAAAAACAGTTCCGCTCTCTGTGTCATTACATTTGTATCGCTATGCTCGTACACACTGTTCATTCGTTATGTTCGTATAGTAAAAGCAGGGCTATTTTTGGGCAGGAACGCACAGGAACGGAGTTCTGGCTGGCTCCGTAGTTGGCCACGCCCAGCAGGAACTCATTAGCATAATAGGCCACACCCAACATCAGAAACTCATTCGGATTGGCTACATTATGGGTGTGTGGCCTAACATGCAAAGGAGTTCCTGCTACAAAAAAAGGCCCTGGGTTTTGACCACAAACAAGGTAAACAGAATAAGAAGCAAAAGGTGGGTGTGGCTGGATGAGCACACTTCTGGTAACATGGGGGTGTGGCCTAATAGGCCAATGAGCTGTGCTGTCAGGGGTGTGCCTATTATGCTAACGAGTTCCTGCTGGGCTTTTTCTACAAAAAAAGCCCCGAGTAAAAGTAAAGGTTTCCCTTGCTCGAAAGCCAGTCGAATCCAACTCTAGGGATGCAGTGCTCATCTCTGTTTCCAAGCCGAAGAGCCAGCACTGTCCAAAGACATTTCCATGGCCGAGGTGCATGGAACACTGTTACCTTCCCACCAAAGCGGTACCTATTTATCTACTTGCAATTTCTTGCTTTCAAACTCCTAGGTTGGCAGGAGCTGGGACCAGAGACAGGAGTTCACTCCGTCATGCGGCACGTGGGTCTCGAACTGCTGAACTACTGACCTACCGGTCTGCAGTTCAGTGTCTTAACCACTTGAGCCACTTCAGCCCCTTCTTATGTTCGTATAGAACTCTTACATTTTTAAAAGATAGGGGCATCCTTGGAGCAGATCTCCTTACCTTTCCCCTCTCTGAACGCCACGGTGCTGCGACCTTCGATCCATTGGTAGACTGGAAAATTGTATGTCTTGCCCTGTGGGGATGTCACCTTGACAAAGTTGCAGTACCAACTGTCTTGGAGGTCCAGCAAAGACTTTTTGGTGAACTGGATGAGCAAAATATCTCCCAAGTCTTGTGGACAGGTAATTTTGTACTTGCTGTCCTGAAATGGAGTGGGGGAGAAGCATGACAAGAAGATGTTCCAAGTTCCAATGGCATCAGAACAAAGCAGAGGAAATTCAAAACCTGAATGGCTCAGCCCCAGCTCCCGCCCCTCATTCTGGGACCTGGTTTTCTGGTTCTCATCAGAGATTGTAACCCTGCACACTATGGCTAGCAGGAGCTGACTGGGGTCTGGCTGAGGCTGTTTCTCTTCTGCCTACAGGTACTTAAGGCATAGAGGTGCCTAACAAAGATATACGGTGTATAGAAAAATTGCTTTCTGATTTCTATATCCACATGCCTTCGCCTATGATGTCTTTTTGATAACATGCTGTGTCTTGTTTCCTGTTGCAAGCCAAATGGTGAGGGCCACATGGCCTCAATAGCCATACCATAAACCCACATTCTTTCACACCTCTAAGTGTGGCTGATGGCTCCTGGCTCCCCCCACACATGCAACAAGTCACGTATACAATGATGAAGCTGTGGAGTTTGGGTCACCTGACTGTGGGAGGGGCCTCCAAACTTCTAGCCATTCCTGTGTTGCAGCTATGGCAACCAACAACTGGGCACATCCCATTCCCACTCGTGATTGGCTGATGGCCACAACTGATCATGAATGGAATTGGGGTATAATTGATTGATTCCTATGAGAGGGAGCGCTCTGCCCTCAGCTCTCCCTTCTTGTCATTGTCTGTTTTATTGCACCTGGAAATGCTGCCTCGTGAGAGACAAAGAGTCGCTTTGTGAACTGGAGCACATGGGTGCAAGGATGGGATTTCTTTTCCAAATCCCTTGGTGTCTAATTGGACTGTATACCTTGGACACTCTTGGAATATGGACTCTTCACTGGTAACTATGAATATCTTTAATGTGTAGTTAAGGCACAGAGCCATAGGTTTTTCTTGTTTTCAGTAATCTCTTATATAGTCTGTGTTGCTATGCTCTGTACTGAATAAAAAGTATTCTTATTTCTAAAGGGTCTCTGCTGTTGTTCCTGAGTTCCAAGTCTAAATCTTGTGCCTTCTGCTCACCATATAAGCTACCTTTGTAAGATTAAGTGTGCATCTCTGGGAATGAGTTGCTAATGTGTTAAGTTCCAGATACCAACTGAGAGTCTGAACCTCTAATCTCAGGTTGGGGGGAACTACTGTAGAGGTTCTGGTGGCATATTGTTCTGAAAACCAGAGAGGATATAGTCCATCTCGGGGTTTGTTGTTTAATGTACTGAAAAAGTACAATATTCCCTCCCATCCCTGGACTGGCCTGGGTGGACAATCCTGTACATACGGGAACACAGTGCACAAGGTACTAGCAAAACAAAAAACACTGTGACTATTTTTTTGCTGTCTGTATTCTTTTTATATTTTATACTGTAGAATATAGATAGGATTACCAAATTACACAATATAATAAACCATGTCAAAGAAGCAAACAATGCGTATGAACATAAATATTTTCAAAGTCTAAGACAAGAAACATCCATTTACTCCACCATACGCCGACAGCCAAGAAAAGCCACTGCACTTCTGTTCCTAAGTTGGCAAACCAGCAACGAAGTGACTTGTGACTACTGTACTCCAGAAAAAAACAACACTCCACTTGTAGGTTCCTGCTCTGGGCAATAGTGGCAGCGTGCATCTTTCCAATGGACTAATGTGTCTCCCAGGTAAGGTCCACATTTGAATGGCGGCCGGTGCTCATTGAGGATAGACGTGTGCGAGAGAGCTCTATACACCTATCCTAAACTCACTCTTTTCGTTGGTAGTTTTTTGCAGCCAAAATATTCTTTGTTAAAGGAATATTTGCCAGAGACTTAAACCACGACCAGAGAGAGTGGCGAATCTCTGGGGTTTGTTTTTGGTTGGTCTCGAAGCAGGAAAGGTGAGCAAGCCAGCAAGGGACTTTATCTACTTGCCGTGCACAAGAGGAGCACAAAGGACAGAGTGGACGGAGTGGAGCATAACATCAATGCCAAATCTACAAATATCAACTATAAACACCATACACGAAGCTAAGTGTTAATTTTTCTCTTTATATATGGGAAACTGAGACGGGAGAAAAGGGAGGGGGTGAAAGCGCTGAAATTTGTCACTGGAGTTAAAACAGGCTTTTCCCCCCTTTGTGAGAGCGGCTAGTAAAAGGTAAAGCCAAATAAATAAAGATAACGTTAGATAAGATACAGAGCAAAGATATTAGTATAAAAACAATAACTCAAGTAATACTTAAGGGGTGCTGACGACGTCTTTGTTACTTTAAGGCAAATTCGAAACAGCTGGGGAGAAGCGGGCGATCGAACGAGGCGCGGCCATCTTTTCTCCATTGATAGTTATGCCATCTTTGGAAAAGGTTTTTAAGGCATTAAATTCTTCTTTGGTAAGATTATGATTATGACGTCTGCAGGAGACCTCCAGTTTTTCAATATCCCTTATAGCAACCTTCTCAAATGATTGTATAGAGTGGTCAGTAATTGAAGGGACAAAATGGGACCTTGGTAGAAATCTGCTCCTATCTAGATCATTAGTATTGCCAAAAAGAATCTTTAATTTTAACAACCTTATTAAACGAAATACATCAACCCAAGTTTGAAAAGGGTTGTATTTAGGTGTAAAAACAAAACCCAAACCTGATTTCAAAACGTGTTCTTGTACTGATGATAATTGTCTGGAATCCAGATTAATAATTATTTTTTCCTCCGACCCCTTGGATAGGGTTGATACCGGGGAAAAGTCTGTCTAGTTTGCTGTTTAGTTCTTCTGTCCAAAAAAGGTCTCCTCTGCATCTGTTTATCACCAGAAGTTGACGGAGACTCCTCCGCTTTGGTAGTATCTAGATCTGAGCTGGAAAATGTCTTATCTGCCCAAGTGACATTTTCTTCTTTTTCTGTATAAACCTCCATTTATATATATTATGTTGTGCATAATCTTTAGTGTCCCTTTCAAATTTTCTGATTTTAAATTCCTGTAATTTATTTTTCAAATTGTTTAACTAATTCCTCTGTCTCTTTAAATTTCCTATCAAATTCATCCCCCTGTATAGAATTCTTTAATGACAGTTCAAGATCAACAATTTCTGATTTAAGTTTTCCCATTTCCTCATGCAATTTTTCAATAATTAGTAACATGAGGCCGGTAGAACATTTATTTAGAATTGACATCCATTTGTTCTTGAAGTTTTCATCATCAGCATACAAGGCAGGTAACTTTTTGGATTTTCAGGCCTCTGGGCATACGCTCCATTTTACAATAATCTGTAAGCAAAATGGCATGTAAGAAAAGTCTAATTTCCTTTGTCTTTAAAGCCATTAGTTGCGCCCAATTAATATTCTTATCTAGAGATTGTTTCTCCAATGTGGTAGGCAAATTAGATAAAACGATCTCCTTATCTACATCTGTAAATGCATCTGTAAATACAAATTAGCTATTTAAATGGGCCATCCCACATGTAAGTAGCAAAGATATAAGAGCTGTGCGCCAGGGGACTTTTAGCTTTGAATTGGGTGGTTCCAACTGCCTCTGAATGTCTCTTGCTTTGAAGAACCTATGTTGGCTATGACTTGACGAGAGAGAGAGAGAGAGAGAGAGAGAGAGAGAGAGAGAGAGAGAGAGAGAGACATGCTCTTCATTCAGAAGCCCCCCCTTCTGGTTTTTTTTTTTTATGTATTGTAAACGGCTTTGGGTTTCCATTGGGGAGAAAAGTGGCCTATAAACAACCAACCAATCAAATAACAACACTCTCTTCAGTGTGTTCAAGGGCTTTCACAAGCTTCATTCATTTATTCATTCATTCATTCAATTTTTACCCTGCCCTCCCTGCCAAGGCAGGCTCATGGCGGGCTTACATTTAAAAGATTAAAAATATATTAAAACACAAATGCCTATTAATGCAATACACCTTCATAAAACACATAGATATAACAATACAAAATAAAATAAAGTGCTGCTGGTGGTAACATCCTGGCCATGATAGGAGGTTCCAAAGTAGGGGTGTGCAAAAAAGAAAAATTCGGCCTGATTGGGATTCGGACGAATCGGGCACAATCAATTTCAGTGGGCAGAAAGACTCCAGCATGTCAATTTCGGCAGTAGGAGCCAACTGGGAAGTCTTTTGGCCAGCCCAATGTCAATTTTGGCCCCATTATATCTTATGGGCCATTAAAGGCAATGGCAAAAACAAATATATATATATTGGATTTATATCCCGCCCTCCTCGAAGGCTCAGGGCGGCTAACAAGGGAATAAGTGCCAGGTTAAAACAATAGAATAGAAAATATTCTGGGGGCTGGAGGGGAGGAGGTTTGAGGGAGAGGCTCCACACTTGCAGGATAGCTGCTGGAGCCTCTCCCCAAGATACCCACCACATTTCAAGAACATTGGACCAGGGGGTTCAATTCGACGAGCCCCCAAACAGGTTGCCCCCATCCCCTCCATTGTTCTCTATGTTGTGAAAAAACATTACTTTCCCCCCACAAGGCTGTTAGTGGCTCTGGGGGGGGGGGGGGGGTTTGAGGGAGAGGCTCCACGTTTTCAGGGTAGCTTTGGGAGCCTCTCCCCAGGCAAGCAGGCAGCACCCGGCTGTCTGACTCTCCCAGAGAACCTCAGGGAAAGTGAACTGTCTTGGGAGGTGCTTGTTTGCCATGAGAAGAAGTGGCACACTCCAGAACAAGTGGCACTGTGGCTTTGCAAGCTCTTGTTCTGGAGCGTGCCTCTTGTTCTCATGGCAAACAAGCACCTCCCAAGACAGTTCACTTTCCGTGAGGTTCTCTGGGAGAGTCTGACTGCTGGGTGCTGCCTGCTTGCCTGCCTTAAGTGCTGCTGGCTGCGTTTCCCCATTGGAAACAATGGAAGTAATGGGGGGGGTAACCTGTTTGGGTGCCCATAGAATTGGGCCCACTGGTATAATTGCTTTGGGACATGGGGGGGTTATGTGGGGAGAGGCTCTCGAAGCTACCCTGAAAATTTGGAGCCTCTCCCTCAAACCCCTTCCCACCCAGAGCCACTAACAGTAGGGAAAAAGTAACTCCCCCCCAACCATAGAGAACAATGGGGGCAAGCTGTTTGAGGGCCTGTAGAATTGGACCCCCTGATCCAATGTTCTTGAAACACAGTGGGTATCTTCGGGAGAAGCTCTAGCAGCTACCCCGCAAGTTTGGAGCCTCTCCCTCAAACTCCCTCCCCTCCAGCCCCCAGAATATACCCTATGTTTTCGCCATTGACTTCAATGGCCCATAGGATATAATGGGGCCGAATTGCTGCCGAAATTCAGCGACAATTCGGCAGCAAGCTGATTCAGATCAGAGAATCTGAATCGGCCCACAGCAGCCCGAAAGGGGCCCGAATGGGCCATTTTGGGGGGTGCATTCGGTTCAGATGAACCGAACACACATCCCTACCTCAGTGCTCTCTGGGGAACATGCAGGGAAAGGCGGTCCCTCAGGTAGGCAGGCCCCAGGCCATATAAGGCTTTAATGGTCAAAACCAGCACCTTGAAGGGAATCCAGCATGCTATTGGCAGCCAGTGCAATGCCTTTAGCACAGGCTGGATGTGCTCCCACATAGGGAGACCCATCAACAACCTGGCCGCCGCATTTTGCACCAGTTGCAGCTTCTGGAATTGCGACAAGGGCAGCCCCATGTAGAGAGCATTGCAGTAGTCTAGTCTTGAGGTGACCATTGCATGGATCACTGTTGCCAGATCATTGCGTTTGAGGAAGGGAACCAACTGCCTGATCAACCGAAGATGGTAAAAGGCTGCCTTGGCAGTGGCTGCTACCTGGGTCTGCATAGTTAAGGAGGCATCCAGGAGCACTCTCAAACTCCTAACCCTCAGTGCTGGCACCAACGGTGCCCCCATCACAGGCCAGTAGTGGGATCCCTACCCCTGTTCTGCTCTGACTCAGGCACAGGACCTCCATCTTCATCGGATTCATCTTCAGTCAGCTCAGTCTAAGCCAACCAGCCACGTCCTGTAGTGCCCAGTCCAGATCTTCCAGGGTAGAGTAGGACTGACCGCCCAACAACAGATATATCTGGGTGTCATCCGCATATTGGTGACGGCCTAGCCCATGCCTCTGGGCAATCTGGGCAAGGGGGCACACGTAGATGTTGAATAACATTGGGGAGAGCACTGCCCCTTGAGGCACTCTGCAGATCAGCGGGTGCCTTCGGAACATCTGATTCCCAAACACCACCCTTTGTCCCCGACCATGGAGAAAGGAGACAAGCCATTGCAAGGCAAGCCCCTGCATCCTTGTGTAGGCTTCCCAAGGCCCCCTGGGGGGTGGGGAAACCCCTGCCCCAGAGGCCCGTTCCCTGCCGCCGCCGGATTGGGCCCCCGGGGGAACTCCACCCCGACGTTTGCGTCACTTGGAAGTGACACGACCACGCCGGGCACGCTGGGGGCGGGGCCACAGCAATCAGAGGGAAAACTCTATGGTTTCCCCTCATATGGCCATGGCCCCACCCCCAGCATGCCTGCCGTCGTCACGTCACTTCTGGGTGACGTGCATGGGGTGTGCGCGCACACACACCAGGCACCAGCCGGGAGCCCCCCACTCTGGCAGAAGATCGACTTGGCAACCCTACCCTTGTGTCAGCGAGGCAGTGGGTCAGTAGCTGATGGCTGACCATGTCGAACGCCGCCAACAGGTTCAACAACAACAGCACCACTGTCCTGCCCCAATCCAGATACCTCCGGAGGTCATCTGTGTGGGCGACCAGTGCCATCTCTGTTCCATGGCCTGGCCAGAAGCCGGACTGGAAGGGGTCTAGTGTGGAAGTGTCATCCATAAAGCTCTGCAACTGTATCGCCACCGCCCTCTCAATTAATTCGCCCAAATAGGGCAAATTGGAAACCGGCCAGTAATTCACCAATTCGGCCAGATCCAGAGATGGTTTTTTAAGGAGAGGGCGGACCATCGCTTCCTTGAGTGCCCCCAGGAACAGTCCCTCAGAGACTTCACTGGGTTTTGCATCTTCTCCTTTGAACAGGTCCCTTACTCACCTCACCTGAAAGTCCTGGTGGGTGTAGAAATAATTTGCCATAAAGCCTGGCAAACTCTCTCAAGTCACAGAAAATAAGTTGCCTGCTCTGCTCTTTGAAAACCCCCCCCCCAACTGAAACAAAAGGACAGATGGAGGCAATTTTCCATAGAGCTGCTCATGCAGTGAATAATATATATGCAAGAAAATAGGTATTGTTTACAAAATGCATTTCATCCCATAAAACCCCACAGCTTCAGCCGGGCTTTGATCCATTACTACTCACAACTTACTGCTCCGTAGTAGAAGTCCGGTCCCCAGTTGTCAAGCCAAGTTTGGGGGCTGGTGCCCTTGGTGCCCACCAAGGTGAGTAAAATCCAGTCTTTAGTCTGTGAGCCCACGTAGGTGCCAGTAGACACACAAGCTGTATATTGAACCATGTTGCAACTCAGGTGTACGCCAAGAATATTTCTTCTCTTGAATGATTAGAAGTAGGAGTGGTGACTGGATGGATTTCCAGACACTGTTAAACCTGTCTTCCATAGAGCAGGAGTTATTATCTTTTCCCAGCAAGAAAAGCCCCACCCCTTTTGCAGTGGTAACTTCACCCCTGCCAGGGAGAGCAGGCTGAGTTCCAGCTGGCTTTGTGGGCATCCATTAGGCTGGGAGGAGAGGCCAGGTTTCGGCCTTAGGCAGGTAAAGAACCAGGGAGTGCAGGAGGAGCAGAAATAGATGCTGGGGCAAAGAGGTCCAGGCCCGTCCTTACCACATCTGGAAGGGAGACACCTTTTCCCACCTCTGAAGCCACTTGAGGGGGCCACCCACAACAAGACACTGTCCTCTCCTTATTCAAGGTTGGGGGAGGGGCTCCGAGGTATGCAGGCAAAATGACATTATGAATTAACAGAAAGAAGGGAAAGGGGGGAAGTTAGAAAGGAAATTGTGTGCTTTTAAGGAGGCGTGAAGGCTGGAAGTAGTTAGAGCTGGGGTCCCCGATTCTGACAGAGCTTGGTGGGAGCAGCCACAAAATGGCTGCCACAGGAGGTGAGCCACAGCTGATCATCAGTCGCACCGGGAAGACATTTGTGCTGAGGTGGCAGCTGCTGCTGAAGCAACATGTTTTAAAATGGAGGCATAGTGTGAGTCCATTTGACTTCGGCAGCAGCATCAGTACGCTTGGCAGGGGTCGTTTCATAGAAAAAGAGCTAGGGGAACTCATTAGCATAACTCATTAGCATATGCCACACCCCCTGACATCACCGGAAGTGCGTCATAAGGCCACACCCCCTGACATCACCGGAAGTGTGTCATAAGGCCACACCTCCTGACATCACCGGAAGTGTGTCATAAGGCCACACACCCCGCCCCCAACGGTCCCGGCTGCTGCCGCCGGCCTTGCAGCTCCACTGCCAAGCCCCATGAGGGGCCCGGCGGTGGACCTGCAAGGCCGGCGGGAGTGCAAGGAAGCCCCGCGAAGGCCCTCCCTGGCCCCAGGCAGGCAGGGGTGGGGAGAGGCAGGGAGGAAGCAACTTACCCTCCCTCTTCTCCTGCCTCCTCCTGGCTGAATGAGGGCCGGAAGCGGGGCGGCCGGAAGCAGGGGGCGGGGCTTTGTCATGTGCCCCGCCCCCCGTACCTCACCTGGGGGAACTGCGATCCCCCACAATCCCCCCGAAATGACCTCTGGTTATAAGTATATAGATTGTGAGAGACTGGAGCAGACTGCTATGTGAATTTTTATTGACCTTTGTATTTTTTTCTATGAAGGAATATGTTGTTTGTCTTTACCAGACACTAAATATGTTATAGCTTTATTATAGACTGTTGTTGTATTGTTCTGTGGGCATCTAGGACACGTCTGTATTTTTTCATACCGGACTCTTTTGGGACTGTGTGTTATTTCTTTGGATTGTTTGACCCAAGGTCTCACCAGCTGCTGCATGTGGAGGAGTGGGGAATCAAACCCGGTTCTCCCAGATTAGATTCTGTGCTCCTAACCACTACATCATGCTGGTAATATGATGAAGTTGTATTACCAAGTGGCAAATCTGGTCCAACTAAACCAACTAAAACAATTACAGTACAAGAAAAGAGTCATATAATTAGAGATGGACTTTTGAGAATATGGTTTACATGTTGGAGTGTGCTGAGTCCTTCAAACTCTCTGCTTATGTCTCCAATAAAAATTTACCATGATAAGAATACAATAAACAAGAGTGACTCCTTGCCATAAGGCAATATGGTAAATGCCCTGGGGAAACTCAAGTCTTGGCAAGACATTAAAGATGAAGGAATAAATATTCAGTGTTTATCGTATTACCAATCAGCTTCAAGACTAAATAACATTATTAACATGGAAGGTGGAACTCTAAGAGAGATGACTGAATTTAACAACTGAATATAAAACAGAAAGTTCATTTATTACATTGGATATATTTAAGTTATTACTTCAGTTAGAAATAGGAAAAGAACAAGTGAAAAAATGTATGATTAAAGGGATGCAGAACTTGAGAGAGCAAATACCTATGCATCAATGGGAGTGGTTATGGGGAAAAGAACTCAGGTTCACACAGCCAGTCGGGCGCTAGAAGAAAATTGATACAAAATGTTTTCAGATGGTATATTACTCTGAAGGATGTCAAGAAAGTAGACAAAAATTACAAAGGAAAATGTTGGAAATGTCAAGACATAGATGAAACTTTTTATCATATACGGTGGACTTGTAATAAGGCAAAAAGATATTGGAAGGAAATACTTGGGAAAATGCAGAATAGATGAAAATTCAATTTCCTATGGAAGCTAAGAATATGTTATTAAGAATACTGCCTAACAAATTACCAAAAGTTTTTGAAGCGATATTTAAACATATGGTGACAGCAGCTAGAATTATTTTATGCACCAAAGTGGAAATCAGTCATCTGTCCAAGCTTAGAAGAATGGGAAAACAAATGGTGAAATTAACAATTTATTTGAGGAACAGATCCATCTTGAAAGCTGAGGAGAGATGGAGTGTCTACTCTGCAAGCAGGAGATAATTCAGAAAGTGAAACAGTCTAAAATGGTCTATAAATGTATTGTAAGGCATATAAATGTAATATAATGCAGAAAAAGGAGACTAAATGTTGAATACAAATATATAAAGAAGTGGATTTTGAACAAAATACCTTTCATTTTTTATATTTATTGTGAGATAAATAATAGATTTCCTTTCAAATTTTGGTATATTAAAAGTTACAGTTAGAACGTAGTATCAATGAAACATGTAATACAGAAAATGTATTAATTATAAAACTATTGTAGAAAATGTCCCAAAAGTGTCCTAAAAATTTAATCAAGGGGATGTCAGGGGAAAGTATTTCTTCATTTCTTTAACATATTTTGTAAGTATAATAATCTTTGATAAATATAATATGTTCTATAATCCCTAGATAACCCCTTTCTTTTCTTCTGTACCCCCTTTAAATTACTATTTTGTTTTTAAAATACAACAAGTATTATTAAAAAAAAAAGCTTGGCAGGGCAAAAGCCCCTGCCTGTTTATGCCCACAGTCTAAAAACACTTGGTGGGGGCACAGTTGTCAGCCATGTACACCATGTACACCATGTTGGGGACTCATGGGTTAGGGTGTAAAAACAGGACCTGAGTTCAAAACACCACTCATCCAAGGAGCTGACGTGGGGTCAGTCACTCTCAGCATAACCCACCTCAAAGACATAAGGATACAATGGAGGAGGAAGGATAGCCGCCATGCTGAATTCTTTTGTCTATGGATACTATTGAAAAGGGGGATTGATACAAGGGTGGAAAAGGACTTTCAAGGATTTTAAGGGTGGAAAAGGACTCTCCAACCATTATAGAACAATCCTTTGTAAGGGTACCTCTGAAGAGTTGACCTTGGGTGAGAAAAGAAAACAAGAAGTACTATAGTAATGATAACATCACCAAGGGTGGAAAAGGACTTTTGAGAAAATCCCCCCTGAGCAATCTGGCAAATTCACAGGATAAATTCAATGACAGACAAACGTAGCTATGCCCCTAAACAGCAGCAACATTTATATATTTACGTTATTTATTGTCTGCCTTTCTCACTGACCATTTTTGCAGTAGTGAAATTCTCCACATTGACGTTTTTAAAACTGCGTGTTATGTGAAATTTTCCACAGAAGATTTTTCCTCGCCAGGCACAAACCTGGAGTTTTCTCCTTACCCCGCGTTTTTGGAACTTGCCAAAACTGGGGATTCCGAAAATGACGCGTAAGAAGACTGGTATCTTAGGTGGTTTAGAGATAATTTCTTACCAAGCTATCAGATTAAATTGGTTGAAAGATTGGTTATCAAATACTATCAAAACCTTGCCAACCATTATAGAACAATCCTTTGTAAGAGTACCCCTGAAAAGTTGACCTTGTGTGAGAAAAGAAAACAAGAAGTACTATAATAATGATAACACCACCATAAATGCTATACTAAGGTCCCAATCAGACGCAGAACTAGCCGCGTGATAGGCACAAATGCCGGGCGGATTTTAAGGGCGCAATCACGTGGGAAAATCTGGCAAGCGTCCCACACCCATCGGCAACCCGTTTCACTCCGCCGAAGAAGCGGAGTTAAAAAATACCAGGGAAAGTGCAGTAGCAAACAGGTTTGTCATGGGCTGCAGATGGACTTCACCGTGTGATCGCTCAAGCATGCTCCCATTGCATCAGTGATCCCTCACTGAAGTGCACTGGAAACACGTGACAAAGAAAAAAACCCCCGATTCACCCGCCGTTGCGTCTGATCGCGCAGTGGCGGGTCAAATTACTACAGCGCAAATAGCCTTGCTCCCCCCCTGTGTTATCTGGCACATATGACTGCACTCATGGTGTTTCATTTTATAATGAGTACCTTTGCACTTACAATCAATTATAGCATTTCTATCAGGCTATAACATGCTGCCTTCCCTCCCAAGAAAGGTCTCAAAGTGGTCCCTATTTATCTACTTGCAATTTCTTGCTTTCGAACTGCTAGGTTGGCAGGAGCTGGAACTAGAGATGGGAGCTCACTCCATCATGCGGCACCCGGGTCTCGAACAGCTGTACTGACCTTCCACAGCCTGCAGTTCAGCGTCTTAACCACTTGAGCTGCGCAAATAGCCTCACTTCCTTCCTGCATTATCTGGCACCTGTGGTCGCACTCTGTTTTGGATCAAGTTAAAAATAAATCGCCACCAAGACTCTCTCTTTTGGCCTCCACTATTAGTGATATGGTTGATGAGTTAGGTTTTGAATTTTCTCATTTAAGAAGATGAAACAAGTATTAATACAGTACTTATAGAAATGTGATAACTGATAACCAAGTAATCCCATATAGTGATATAAAAGATATGAAGGTGCCTAATCTTTCAGTATTTGAATATCTCCAAGTCTTGAGGCCTACAACAGTTTGAGGAATTACTTTTAGGTGATGGCAAAAGTTTTACTTTGAGGATGTATTCTTGTTTGTGGAAAAATTTACTCAAGCCTGATCAAGATTTTTGCTGTAGGTGGCAAAGAAGTGTAGGTAATATTTTTGATGATTCAGCAAGGAAATTTATTTTTACTCGTGGCACTACAGTTTACAGTTTGCCTCTCTTTTAGAGAAAACTTGTTGGAAATGACTCATAGATGGCAACTTTCCCTATAAGGCTGGCAAAGATTTATAAGTCTGATTCCCGCATAATATTGGCTCTGTAAAGAAGACAAAGCAGATTTTTTTCACATGTTGTGGTCTTGTATTTGTGGCTCCAGCTTCGGGAAACAAGTGGCAAAATTACTATCAATAGGACTGGGTATACAAATCCCTTATAAGCCAGAGACATTATTGCTGAATTATCTTCCTGATGTTCCCAGAGATCAGCAAATAGCCACTTTGCATATGATTACTATTGCTAGATTGGTCTTCACCGGGTATTGGAAACAAAATAATACCCAAAATTAGAAGACTGAATCTTTTGTCAATATGACCCACTTCTAGAAGGCTCATAGCAGCTAAAATGGAGCAAAGAAGGCAAACACAGGTGCATTATAGGCATAAAAAGACCCAGAACTTGATAGCTTAAAAGCAAAATATACATATTGCAGAGTCATTCAAGAGTCTAATGGAAGTCTTATCTAGAGCAAATATATGATCCTGAAAGACATTCTACTAATTCATTTATTTATGTTATTTAGAGTCCCCTTTGCTCACAGGGAATCAAGGCAGATTACAAATAGTGAGTCCGTACAATCCAAAGTACAAAGTGCTTTTATCTTTTGAGTTCCAGTGAAGTTTTAATTGAACATTGTGATGGCCCACAAGGGGTGGACAAAGGAGAGAGTATAAAACCCCTTGACATGAGATAGAAGCTGTCTTGCCTTCTTATTCGGAACCATCTTACACCAGAGCTGCCATGACCATGGGTTGCCTCTCAAAGGGGAGAATCCCCACTCCATGAAACTTTGGTAATGGAACTGTGAGGAAATGCATTTTTTTCTTTGGAGGTTTGAAATGCGCAAAACCTTCACTCTGAGTTTTTAAAGTGTTTTTTTGGGGGTTTTTTGTCTGTGGGCAGAGAACAAGCTGGAAGGAGGAAACTCAGTTCAATTGCCTTCCAGACTTACCTCAGCCCACCTTCACACAAATGCTAATAGGTCTAGACAGGATGGTCAAGTCCCGTCCCGCCCCCCCAAGCAGGGAACAGAGATTTGGAGGCATTAAATACTAAAGACACTTCAGGGAGGAAATTTCTGGAGACACCAAGAAAAACTCCTTGACCTGGCCTGACTGGGTTGGGGGGGAGGAGAGGTGACAAAACTTCTGGAAGCAAGGAATTTTGTGCTGAGTCCATCAGAGCAGACAGAACTCTTAATTGAGGTCTGAAGGAGGCAGCCATTAGCCTGGAGAACTGAAAGAAGCTTCAAGGTAATAGAACTATGTAGATATCTATAACTTCCTAAATTAAGGAGCCTGTCCTATATTTTAACATCTGATAGGGCATGTATAGAGAGAGGGACAGAAGATTTGTGTTTAACCCATTTCTTTTTAATCCCTTGCTCAATCTGGTGCTGTGCTAAAAGTCTGATTGTGAACATTTTCTTTTTAATAAATACTTTTGTTGCTGGTAGAAGTTGTATGTACCACACAGACCTCTACCATTTTGGACATGCTATTTAAAAAGGAGCACCAGGGGGAAGGCAGTCAGTTGGCAAGTGGCTATTCCTCCAGGGGTGCACAAGGAGTAAGTCTCCATGGTGCCCCATCGCTGGGCAGCTGGAGACACAGAGGAGAGGCCTCAGATCTTGGAAGAGAAGCTGGGAGTCCTGACTCTCCCAGTGGGAAATTCGTTACAAAGTTCAGGTGGTGGCAGTGGTTACCTGAGAGAGAAAGGAAAGCCTCTCACCATTTTGGGAAGACCTTGGAGGGGAAGGTAGAACAGGGCCTGCAGGCCAGAGCAGGCCTGTTCCATCACAGGAACATATTTAAATACTTGTAACTTCAAACATTAAACAGCCTTTACTAATATTGTCATCTTGTAGAATATGCAAAGTGTTAGGATTAGAGGACTACGTTTGAATTGCTTTTTTTTTTAATCTTTGCTCGTTCCATTATAATTTCAGGATGCTGTGTGTGCATTTTTTCTTTATTAAATGTCTTTACATTTTGAATGTTGATGTGGCTTGTGATGCACATCAAACCCTATTTGGTAATGCTTATAGAGGGGGAAAAAAACCAGGGGAGGGGTTGGCTGCTGATCCTTTCAGCAACATAGCACACAAGTGTGTTTGTTCGTCCCTGCTACAGCAGAAGCAAAACTGAGGCGGAGCCTTTAAAGAGCAACACAGTGAAGAGTGCTGGGGTACTAGTGCTTCAGGAGATACTCGTAATGACCAGTTGGTGGCTGCCCAAGAGAAGCAGGTTACAATGGAAGAAAGCAGGAGAGAGCCCGTGCCAAGCAGAGACCTGGGGCAGTTATGGAACTCCCACATGGGCGGAAACGGGGCTTGCGTGGCCATTTCCCCACACTGACCAAGCTGGCTTTCTTTGTCACTTGGCAAAGGCCTGTTTTCCATTTTGGCACCTGAATCCTGAGATATTTTGTTAGTCTGAGGAACATTTTAACCCCCAAACAAATAAATACTATACAGTACACAAACTGACAGTCAGGGAACGTTGGCCCTTTAGAAGTTGTGTCTCTTGGGAGCCCCATAACAATTTTCTCCCGCCATCTTGGCTTCCATCATTTGAGGTGTTTCCGTCACGTGATGTCCCCACCCCTTGAGGCCTTCCCAACTTCGAGGAGCCTCTTTGTGGGTTAGGCTTGGAGTCTGCACAATTATATCGATGTGCTGTTCTCTATTTCTGGCGGGTTGAGGTAGTTGTAGGGGAGGGGCAAGCGCTTGTTCCTCTCCTCAATTTCTTTGGAGATCTGGGCCAGGCGGTTCTGAAAAGCTGCAATGATCTGCTTTGGTTCTTCTTCTGTGAAATGTTCCGCAGGGTAGCAACCCAGGGGCCTCTGGAAAGAGAAGAAGAGAAACTTTTGTACCTCGTCTCCATCCCTGATTTGGGGTTGTCTCATTTTCATTAAGGATTCCTTTGTTTCTTTTTATGGCATTTTATATCATTTATACATGATTTTTAAAAATATTGAAAAATTTGGGGAGAATTCGGCTTAAGGAATGAAACATCGGTGCAGAAACAAACACTCACAGGTTCACAAGGGAGAAATTAAACTGAAATGGGTATATTTCAATGGAAGCAGACAACTTTCGAAATCAGATCAGGCAACTTTGAAATAGCAAGAGCAGTGGCCGTGAAATTAGGCCTTTCTATGCTGTCCTGCCAACCTAGCAGTTCGAAAGCAAGAAACTGCAAGTCGATAAATAGGTACCACTTCAGTGGGAAGGTAACAGTGTTCTGTGTGCCTCGGCATTTAGTCATGCCAGCCACATGACCACGGAAACATCTTTGGACAGCGCCGACTCTTCAGCTTGGAAACGGAGATGAGCACCGCATCCCTAGAGTCGGATTTGACTGGCTTTCGAGCAATGGAGACCTTTACCTTTACCCAGAGGTCGATTCGGGGGGGATCGCGGGGGATTGCAGTTCCCCTGGGTGAGGTGTTGGGGGTGGGGCACATGACGAAGCCCCACCCCCTGCTTCCAGCCGCCCCGCTTCCAGCCCTCATTCAGCCAGGAGGAGGCAGGAGAAGAGGGAGGGTAAGTTGCTTCCTCCCCGCCTCTCCCCACCCCTGCCTGCCTGGGGCCAGGGAGGGCCTTGGCGGGGCTTCCTCGCACTCCCACTGGCCTTGCAGGTCCACCGCCGGGCCCCTGATGTCAGGGGGTGTGGCATATGCTAATGAGTTATGCTAATGAGTTCCCCTAGCTCTTTTTCTACGAAACGACCCCTGCCTTTACCTATGCTGTTGGTGAGACTCAGCTAGTTCTGCTTGAAGGAAGATAGATCAAGAAGGGTAGCTGTATTAGTCTATAGCACTAGGAAAAGGTAAGAGTCCAGTAAAGACTAACCAAATTTGTGGTAGGGTATGAGCTTCCGTGAGTCACTGCTCACTTCTTCAGATAGCAGTGACTCATGAAATCTCATACCCTACTACAAATTCTGTTAGTCTTTAAGGAGCTACTAGACTTTTACTCTTTCCTACTCCTTGAAGGAAAGGTATGATATGGATACAATAAAAGAGCAAGGTTCCCCCACCACTTTTTGAAGTGGAAGCTCACATTTGTTGCACTTGTAGCTAGAAGATTTCTGGCATTTCTCACTCCAGACAAGAGCTTGGATCTTCAGTAATGTGTAGATCCAGCCCAGTTTCTCATCTTGTTTATTTAAAACATTTGTTAACTTCCTTTCTACCTTATAGGAGCTCAAGGTGGCTTACAATGTAAACAATAATACAATAGCTGTTGTCGATTTTCCGGGTTGTCTGGCCGTGGTCTTGGCATTGTAGGACCTGACATTTCACCAGTAACTGTGACTGGCATCCTCAGAGGTATAACACAGAAAGACAGAGTACTCTCTGTGTCAAGGTGAGAAGAAAAATGGTAGGCAGGTAATTTATATCTACTCAGGCAGGTGGGGTAGGGCTGAGTCATTGTCTTGTAGGAGTTCCCCAGGCTGTGGACATGCTAATGGAGGAGCTTTCCTGAGGAGGTTCTTTTGTATGTGGATTGTTTCCATATAATAATTGTATATGGATTGTTTCCATATAATAATTGTATATGGAATGTTTCCATATAATATAATAATAATACATTAAAACCACTAGTTAAAATCAGTAAATTTAAAACTGCTGCTAAACAGAAGAACTAATCAAATGCTGCTGTGAATAAAATGGCCTTTAAAGGTAAAGGTAAAGGTTCCCTTGCTCGAAAGCCAGTCAAGTCCGACTCTGGGGTTGCGGTGCTCATCTCCGTTTCAAAGCCGAAGAGCCAGCGCTGTCCGAAGACGTTTCCGTGGTCATGTGGTCGGCATGACTAAACACCAAGGCGCACGGAATGCTGTTACCTTCCCACCAAAGTGGTCCCTATTTATCTACTTGCAATTTCTTGCTTTCGAACTGCTAGGTTGGCAGGAGCTGGAACTAGAGACGGGAGCTCACTCCGTCATGCGGCACACTCGGGTCTCGAACTGCTGAACTACTGACCTTCCATAGCCTGCAGTTCAGCGTCTTAACCACTTGAGCCACCGCAGCTCCTTAAAATAGCCTTTAGCTGCCTCCTAAAGATCAAGAGTGAGGGGGCCAGGCGCACCTCCGTGGGGAGGTTGTTCCATAATCATGGGGGGAGGCATCCCCTCGTGTACCAGTCAGACCAGCTTCTTTGGTCGACGGCAAGTCAAGAAGGCCTCTCTCTGTGACCTTAGTTTCCCCAGGAAGGCATGTATGAGACAAAACGGTCCTTCAGATACCCCTCCGGGTCCCTTCCTTCCAAGTTCATTCTTACCCTGTCTCCTGGTTCTTTGCTGAGTAGCCAGAGGATTAGCAACGATCGACAGGTTGTGCTGACATCCGGCAAGGTGTCTAGGATGCTCCCAAAAGTTGCGCTACCCTTGGTCTTAGGGGGTGGCTTTCGCATAGATGAGGGGTAGTTGGGCATCCAAGCTCCAAAGTCAAACTAGAGAATAAGGGAGGGTGGGGATTAGGGGAAACAGAAATATAATGCCACGTTACCGCCCCACATTATGTGTAAATGCAGCTAGGTTCTTGCGATGTTTAATTGAGAGCACTGTAGATAAGCATTCAGAAACGTCAGAAACGTCAAAATACTGTCGCCACGTCATGAAAAAGAAGACGAAGAAGAGATTGGATTTATACCCTGCCCTTCACTCGGCGTCTCAGAGCGGCTTACAAAATCCCTTTCCCTTCCCCTCCCCACGACAGACACCCTTGGGAGGTAGGTGGGGCTGAGAGAGCTCTGAGAGAACTTTCCTTGAGAGAACAGCTGTGACAGAACTATGGCTTGCCCAAGGTCATCCAGCAGCTGCAAGTGGAGGAGTGGGGAATCAAACCCGGTTCTCCCAGATTAGACCACCACACCAATTTATACCCTGCCCTTCATTACCCAAAGGAGTCTCAGAGCGGTTGACAATCTCCTTTCCCTTCCCCACAGTAGACACCCTGTGAGGGAGGTGGGGCTGAGAGAGCTCTTTCAAGAACTGCTCTTTCAATAACAGCTCTGACAGAACTACGGCTTGCCCAAGGTCATCCAGCAGCTGCAAGTGCATGAGTGGGGAATCAAACCCGGTTCTCCCAGATCAGAGTCCGCGCACTTAACCACGACACCAAACTGGCTCTCATTCTGCCCTCAGAAAAGGCGTGAGATTGCCACAGGGGCAGCTGAATTGGCAATGCCACGGGGGACAGAGACCCTCTTACAGAAGATGCAGATGCCTTTGAACTCACAAAATCCATAATTTTGTGGTGAGGAAACAGTTCAGAGGAACAAGGCCATTTCTGCTGGCAAAAACAGTGTGGGAGGGGAAGCTGGCAGTGCAACGGGGCACTTTGAAGGAGAGTCCTCCCAACCATGTCTACTTGTCAGGTTGGGCACCCAGGACCTGACTCGTGTCACACAGAGTCTGTATTTTGGCTCTCAGGCTGGGGGTGAAAACCATAAAGTGACGAGAAAAGGGGCTGGGGAACAAACAAGGAAGCCTCTAACCTGGCCATTGTTGCCCCCACCCCTCCTACCAGGTCCATAGCTACAATGGGGCATCTCGGGGCCTGCCCCCCCCCCCGTCTTACTGCCAACGCCCCCCAACTTCCCATCCAGCCCAGCCTCCCCCAACTTCCAATTTTTTAATTTATTTGTGGTGCTCCCTTGGGGTGTGTGTGCAGGGTGTCCCCCAACTTATTTAAAGCCCCCCTCCCCGAATTTAAAAAATCCTGGCTATGGGCCTGCCTCCCACCAATGACTATAGACAATTCTGGATAGCTTTTTTTGGGGGGGGGAAGGTTTAGGGTGGATAAAAATGGATCTTACCGGAGGACTCTCTCCCAAGAGGGCCCTTGTTAAAAATCTCGGCCACCCAGGCCTGGAGCTCTGGGTCCTCCCTCACAGAAATATCCTCCGGGTAATAAAGACAGACGATTCCGGAGACGAAGCTGTAGGGATGAGATAAGGGATGGGAGAGAGAAGGGACAATCAACCTGGGAGAATAGAGAGAGCCTGAGTGTATACTTCTTCCCAGGAGTCATTTCGTAGAAAAAGAGGTGCAGGAGCTCATTAGTATAACTCATTAGCATAACTCATTTGCATATGCCACACCCCCTGACATCACCGGAAGTGTGTCAGGAGGCAACACCCACCGCTCAGGCTCCACTGGACTGTTTTGGATTGCTGGCTCTTGGGGG